ACTGTTATTGGTGAAGTTGTATTTCGACTAAATGGTATAATGTTCCTAATGTTTCGAGGATGGCAAATTAGAGAAAGTTTTTTCTCGAATGATCAAGTTTTGATTGATAATATTTATGACAATTTTTTTAAAGCGAGTCATATTTTTCAATGGAGAATCGGCAGTTAGTGTGTTCAACGTCGCACGACAGATATAAATGTTTATTTAAGTTGAACGTATATACTTTATTTAATAATAATAGTAATGGTAAAAAAATGGTACTAAAAATCCAAAGAAAAGCTAAAATTATATGATGATTTTTACCAATCATACACACATAATTTCCTAATATTTATGCATTTTAATATTAGCCTGAAACAAAAAATAAACACCACTCTTACAATTCCAATTCTTGGTACCATTAATAAAAATTTAAATTGTGGAAGGTGTCACATTGGTCACATTTGGTGATGAATCACCATCATTATTATTCTTTCCATGAATCTTTTGGTGACGACGAAGATTACTGACAACAGAAAAATGACGTCCACATCCATCCACTGAACATTTAAATGCTAATAAACAAACAAAAAATAAAATTATAAAAAAAGGTAATCAATAAATAAACCATCCGATTCAAAAATATATTATCACTTACGTTTTTCACCAGTATGACTATACATATGAGTTTGTAGAGAACTTGGTCTCGTGAATCTCTTTTGACAAACTTCACATTTATATCTTTTAGGAGTCGATGAAATAGTTTTTGAATTAAAAGTAGTCATCATAGCTTGAGGAGAGGATACACTTGGAGATAATGTTTGTGGTTTATCTGGTGTGCCTCCATTATTATTATTTGAAATAACAGCTATATCATTTGTAACAGTATAACCTGCACCACCACCACCACCACTCAAGGCAGCAATTGTTGCATATTCTTGTGGTGTAGTGCCCATTGCATAATTAACAGTTTCATGTTGAGCTAAACCGATTGGAGGTTGACCATAATAGTTAACTGGAGCAGCGGTTGTGGTAGCAGCAGCTGTACGAGCTAATTTCATTGAAGGATCATTGAAAAGAGCAGGATCCAATGCATGTTCTTCATAAGTTTTTGCTGGTTTTGGAGGATAAGGACCAAAAGGATAAGCTGAACTACTATTATTAGTCCATATTTCTTCAGTTTTTACAACACAATCGGATGATTCAGCAGCACTTGTATTATCACTAAATAATATATGAGGAAGGAGGAGGGAAGGATGAATAGGAAATTATAATTATAAGTAAGTGATAATTATGATAATCATTTTTTATAATAATTTATAAATTATTAGCTCATACACTGTTGATGTTGGTGCATTATCGAGTGCTTTTGTGTTGTTGGATGCTTTATTTAAATCCGCACTACTAATAGTGGCATCATTAGTAATTGTTTCAGTGGATGTAATGGCGTTTTTAATGGATCCAATTGTTGATGATGATCTTTGAATTTCATTAGTAGATGAAAATTTATCACTAGAAGTTTCGTTATTATTAGCCCCACCATTATTATTTACTTTAAAATCATTATTAGAACTATTGGAGGCTGGATTAATTGAAGAATTGCTCATTATTATTTTTATTTTGTAGATGATTTTTAATATATATGTATATATATTTTGCTGATTATTTTCTGTTGAATGTTAATCTTTATGTCTAAATAAATATTATTTTTTTGTAGATGATGATGATGGATGATTAACAAAACAATTTATTATTATTGTTAGTTTTTAAAAAAAGATTATGATAAAACTACTGAAACCTCCTTATTTCTTGTAAAAATAAATAAATCGATTACCTTTGTTTTTATTTCAATTGTAAAATTTACTAAAATCAAGAAAATGTCTTTTTTATTTATTTTGCACTTGAAGTTTTTTTTTTTAGTTTGTCCAGTATTAAAAAAAAAATTTAGGAAGCAAAAATTTTTATAAAAGAAACAAGTGTAAATTTACGTATAAAAGAGCATAAGAAACTGATCAAAATATAATAAAGAAATAGAGAGAACAGAAGTTTGATTTTTTTTTTTAGTGGGAATAAAAGATATATTATTAAATATATCTTTCTCTAATATACAACAAAGCCAAACATAACAAGATACCGTTACACAGATTCATAGTGGGTAAATTTCGTACGACTATTAAAAACCAATCTTTTTCCTTCTTCCTTTAGTTTCCATATCCTAAATATAATATGACATTTGATAACAATTTATCAATATTCTTTTTACTATTTCTTAATTGCTTACTCATGATGATGAAAAATTGTAGCACCATTATAAAGTTTGCAGATAAAATATCACCATTTTCTGCCATTTGATCAATCTCAAGCAAAGTACTTTAATCAATGAAACGATGTCTCTTTGTTTAAGTTTGGATCGAATAATCAACCAAGTTTAATTGAGCAAAGTCAAAATCTTGAGATTGGTAACAGCAGAGCTGTTTCCTTTAATATTTTCCCAAAACATCCAAAGTTTTAGATGCTATCTTCTACATGTGCACCTTCTATTTGCAGATAAGTCATCTTTACACACCCATTTCTCAACTCTCCAACAATGTTTCCAGCATTCGTGATAAATTAAAATATTTGAATAAGAGTGCTAACAACCAAGAACACACGAGCATCATACTGTTTGCGCACGTCTCTTCTTCTAGAAGCGTTGCTTAATTTCGAGTAGTAACTCTTAATATCTGAGCTTTGTAATGGCCCTAGAAAACATCATATTGTTGTTCATGATTAATCTAACTCAAAGAAAAAGATTGCAACAATCCCATAAACATATCCTCCATAGTGAATGAGTCATATATGACAACCTTACAGAGGTATCTATAGTCACATGTGACTGTTGTAAAATGTGTAATAGATGCGCTAGCGTAAATCGAACGTTGTAAGAAGGGGAAGCAAACAGGTTGGGGAAAGTTCAAGTTTTTTCGCAGCAGTAAAAATATCTAAAAATATAGAAATTAA